AGGAGGATCTGCTGCTTCAGCAGACTCTGATGGTGCTGGCAGAGCTGGACAAAGCCTCCGGCCAAAGGGTAAGCCGGGCCAGCGCCGGCGCCGGGTTCGAGTCCCGCCATAGCCGTTGCCGCCGAGTCGGTGGCGAGCGGAGTCAGTGGGTCTCCGGGCGAAGAGGAGACAATGAGGCTGGAGAGGAGCGGCGACCCGGTCGAGACGAGCCGGGACTCGGCCGACAGACGACCCGAGGGCAGTGGAATGCAGCTGCTGAGGGTGAAGAAGCCTCCGGACGCAGCGGCGGCTGCAGCGGCGGCCGCGGCTGCCGCCGCCGCCGAAGCCGAAGCTGAAGCCGACGAGTCCAAAGGAGGTCCGGTCAAGTGAAGCCCGGTTGTGCGGTTGGCTGGTGCCAGTCGGTTCGAGTCCAGTCGTCCGACTCGACCGCGCCGCACCGTCGGGCCGTTGGCCTGCGGCCGCGAGGGTTCGCACCAGCGCGACTCCGTCGTCTGGCGACGACAGACTCGGCCGAGTCGATCGAGCAGAAAGATGAGCAGGAACGGATCCAGCGCCAGATGGAGGAGGAGGAGACGTTGACCGAACAGGTAGCGTCGATGGTGAGTCCGCGGCTCGGCCTCGAGCACACGATCTGTCGTCGTCAAGGCGACTGTCATGCGCCAGACGGCGGCCAGTCCGCTGCTGGCCAACTCAACGAGCACCACGAGCACCACGAGACTCTGCAACAGGCAGATGTGCACCCGAAGCCGAGGCGAGCCGGCCGGCCTCGAGCCCAGCACCCGCTGGCGTTGGACCGATCGGCGCTGAAGGCAGATGAGCCCGGCAGCGCTGGTTGCCGTGAGACAGGCCAACGGGAGAAGGACGAGCAAAGGGCAGGTGAGTCGAGCCACCGTGTTGCCCGGCGCCTCACGGCCTCCGGTACCGGTACAGAGCAGAAGGGAGTCGAGTCCGCCGAAGAAAAAGTTCACCGAAGCCGCGACATCACCACGACTCAACGGCGACGTCGACGTCGACGTCGAGGGGAGCGGATAAAGGGCGATGAATAGGGCGCAACCGGCGGCCAATGCCCATGGCAACGAGTGGGCTAGAGCAAGACAGGCGCCCTTTTGTTGGCGTCGACTGCGTCGGCCCGACTGCCCGGCCCAGCCTCGGACGACGGAATGAGCCCGAGGGCTGGAATGCTGGTCGGAGTGGACGCTGAGGCTTCGATGCAACAGCACCAGTCCAACCAATTGGCCGATTATGAGGAGGCCGACGACGAGGTGTAGTCGGGCGCATAGCAACGTATCAGTTGCCA